CACACACACACACACACACACACACACATAGTGAAATGCAGGAAGAGCTATACCAAGTGGCAGACATTAAAGAAAAAAAGAAGGAGCTGGAGTAGTATGACAGACAGAATTGGGGAAGAGGTGGAAACCAGAGAAGTTAAGGGAAGGAAAAGAAGTAGGAGAGAAGAGGTTGCTCCATAGAAGAAGAAGCAGAAGAGGGCAAGGACAGAGCCCTGGAGATTCCTGGAGAGAGTCGGAAGGATCTGGAAGAGGCAAGGAAGAAATAAGGGTGAGAAGCAGAGACAGGCAGTACTCGGGAAGACGACAGAGACCTTGCCATGAAGGAAAACACGGCAGGTAGCACGGGAGTAGAAGCCATGCTCTGGCAGGTGGAAAGACACTGGTGACCTTGGAGGGCAGCTTCAGCAGCATGGCGGGGACAAGGATGTGCAGGCCCCGCCTCGGGTGAGGTAAGCGGGAGCACGCTCAGAACCAAGCCAATACAAAGGCTTTTCTGGCTCAAGCCAGCAATTGAGTCACTGCAGAATAATGGGACCTCCCAAGGCTCCCCGTGTCCCACTGCCCTTTGCATACAGGTGACCCCAGCAGGGGCAGCAGAGATAAGTACTTAAGCAATGGGACAAATTGGGACAAGCCTATTGTGTCCAACCAGTGACCACAAAAAGGAGATCGAGTCACTGGTGGGATTCACTTTTTCCTGCTCAAGGTATTAGACCTAATGAGCTCCAAGACTGAAACGGGGCACATGGCCAGAGAAGATATTTGGTCCCTGTCTTCAGGAAGCTTCCAGTACAGCTAGGCAAATGTTCATCCTGCGAGATGATACCCCGGCCAAGCCTGCATCTGCTGTGCCTGATACAAGCACATGCAGACTTTTACAAAGTTACTTTCCCCACAAAGGGTTAATGTAAAATGTAAACTGCAGGATGGAGAGTGGGGATGGGTATAGCTCAGTGGTACAGCACCTGCCTGGCCTGTGTGAGACCCTGGCTTCAAGTCCCCAACACTTCCAAAGCAATAATAATAATAGTAATAATAATAACAATATAATAGTAACTGGGTGACAGGCTCCCTAAAGACACATCAATGCCCAAATATTGGCCCAATTAGCCCTTTTTGTTAATGTATGTTTGTTATACATAATGATTATGTTTATTGTGAGTAGCTACTACTGGTACATGACAAACTAAATTCATTATAGCTGGGCGCGGTGGCACACAACTGTAATCCCAGCACCTGTGAGGCTGAGGCAGGAAGATCGCTGTGAGTTCAAGGTCAGCCTGAATGACACAGAGAGAACTTGTCTCAGAAAAGAAAAAAAAAAATCAATAAAATCAATAAATTCTTTCTACATCCTCCCCTTCTGCCCTTGCAGTTTGCTCCTCCAGTTTCTATCTCCAAAACCAAAAAGCGACTTCCATCCTTCCCTTTTCCAATGTTGTTTCCCTGGAACCACCCTTATGGCCCCCAAACGCAGCTCTGAAGCCAGACTTAGCCTCAGACACCTTGCAAGGCCTCACCCTCCCTGTCCACAGCAGCCTCACTTCCTCATCCTCCTGTGCAGCTCCTGCTCCCAAGCGCTCGTCAAAGCCCAGATGAGGCCCTGGAGGGCACATCGTGGGTGTTCAGTGTTGGCTTGCCACTTGGTTGGACATATTTTATGTCCCAGTAATCTTTGTGGTCTGAAACTGACTATGGCTATGACACTGTGAATGTTGGTGGGTAAAAGGACGGCTTTGGTGGTGGGTAAATCTGATCTGGGTTGAATCCAAGTGCTACTAACTGAGTAGGTCAGAGACTGGACAGTGTCCTTGTCACAGAATGCACACCATGAGAACCGTGATGATCTCATGATCATCATGTGTAAAATATATGTGATGCTGTGAGCATAATGCTCTTAGTCTCTTCGACGATGTATATCCCTTTTTAAGGTAACGTTAAATATAAAGAAGCCTAGATCCAAGAGGACACCAAGGGTATTCAACTACTAGACCCTGAGACCATTTAATAACTCCCAGAAGGGGTCACCCTCCCCCGCAACTCTGTATTTAGAGCATGCAATAAAGACCTACCCTTACAGCACTTCCCCTCCTGGACCGACCTTCCCTTGCATCCTGTTTTAAATTGAACACTTATGTGACACTAAACACTTCCTTGCGTACTAGCTCTCTGCATCATAGTTACCAATGAGCCTGGAATTCTTTCCCATTTTCCCTCTAGAAAGTTACATATTGATCCCGAAGGAGGTGCCCCCTTGCCAAGCCCTCCCCAACCCTGGGACATCAATAACATTTGCTGGTGTCTTTGCTCCACAGACAGTTGAGTCCTTCTCTCAGTCGGTGCTGATGCCCTTCAGCTGATGACTCAATTCTCATTTCTATAATCGCTGAGTCCAAAGGTTCCTTCTGATATCAGATGGTTGGGACTGGGGACTTAGCTCGGTGTTTTAAGCACCTGCCTGGCAAGTGTAAGGATCTGAGTTCTATCCCCAGTACCATATGCTGTGCTGGCTCTGAAACCAGGCATGGTGGCACATACCTGTGATCCCAGCACTGGGGAATCTAAGACAGGAGGATCACTACAAGTCTGAAGTGCTAGCAAGACGCTGCATCAAATAAACAAATAGGATTTTTAAAATACCTACTGGTATCGAACGGCTTGTAAGTATTAATTTTATACATTCCAGGGCATTTTGTTTGCAAAATTTTGTTTGAGCATTTTGGCATTTTGCTTGAGCCCTGGGCCTTGTGCATACTAGCAAGGGCTCTGCCACTGAGCCACTTCTCCAAGCCCCATATTAGATCTTTGAGGGAATGCTCAAGGCATGAGTTATCAGACAAAGGTACGGCGCGTACAACTTGTGGCACGCACTGTCATGTTTCCCAACCTACTGCCCACCACAATGCACACCAGCTCACAACTAAGCCAGCTTGAAACTAAGCTCATTCCTAATTCAGTGGCTTTGTATTTTTTGAAGTGCATCTTGTTCTGAATAATGGCATTCGTTTCCACTGTCATCACTTAGTACAAAGGTCTTGATCCTTCAACAGGAAGGCTACAGTGAAATGACAAAGACCTTGAAAGTGACTCAAATACAGAGGAAAGTCACTCAAATACAGATGTGCTCTTCTTAGTTCTACATTTCTCAATTGCTGAACATTCCATTTAGAGATTAGTCATGGGACTTGGGTTGTCTGATGAATTTAGTTATCTTACTGGACTTTGAACACAGCGAAAAATTTCAAAGGCTGCCCTGGGCTTGTTAAGATGCGTGTGCGCTTTGTAAGCATGAACGCATGCCTACATCTGTAAAAGCGAAGGAGAATGAAAGTTGATGAGATAAATAAGGGCACGCACATTCCTATTTTCTCAGCTACCCTGAGATTCACCTAAGTTTACCCCTTAAATAATAAATAATTTAAAGTGTATCATGTCCTCATCTTGTACAGCAATTAACCACTAGGAAGAATGTATACAGTGTGTTATTATTGAAACTGTCCTACCAATTTGATTTGAAACTGTCTCATTGCTATTTGTTTATCAATAAAATTATGGGGGGAAAAATAAATAAAGTGTATCTCTTAAATAAATGAGCATTCTCATTTATTTGCCATCAAAGAACCATACCCTGACTCTAATTCCTGTAGAAATATTTGGCCCTCCAGGAGAGCCCATAAGTATCAACACGGCATTGCTTTCTGCCTTTGTTTGTTTACCATGCTTAAATTTTCTGCCTTCTTTGAGGCAGCTGGAAAATTGCAAAACATAAATTGCACTCGATAAAAATTCCCAAGTCCTTGGGTGCTTGCTGCTTTCTGTATACAGGCCAGAGCCATGGTTTCTGCTCCTTCCCCAGCCCACTGGCCCTCTCGGAATCCCACTGACAAGAGAAAGACCAGCCAGCCTCCTAGATGCAGGACTCCAGGTCTTACCAGTCACCCCTGGAGGTAAGCAATACACTGACTGATTGTCTCCTTTCATTTTTCTTAAATGTAAAGAAGCCCACCTTCCATAGCACTTCAAGGGTCTACCAAGCACCAGCTTGCTTTTCCTTTCCTTTTTGTGATTGGGTTAAAGTAAAAGGCGGAATAGGAAAAGTCACTTTGGAGTCTGTTTCCCAGGGAGCTGTCAGAACCACTGCCCTTCCTCCGATACCTCCAGCAGGTCGCAGCCTGAGCACTACCTCCCAGTGGTCTAGAGTTGATGCTCCTGCCTTATCTCCCAGGATTCTTCTGGGTTAGGAGAAGTCAGCATAATCCTAATTAAAGCCCTATCTGAGTTCAAACTTCAGGACCCAACGAACCAGTTCTACAACTCAAAAGAATTTAATTTGATCTCACACTTACAGTGGAATAAAACACAAAAGAAGAAAAAGAGAGAGAAAAAAAAAAAGCTGGCAGCTCTGCTAATGAGCAGCTAGATTTCTGGACACACTGCCAACCTGATCTAATTAAGAAGAATTAGCAGTCAAATGACGTACTTGAAGAGGAAAGGTTCAGACAGGACACAAGGTTCCTGACAGCGGCTGAGAAGCTGCTACGTCTCCGGCGCAGGTGAGTCCCCAGGGGTGCAGCCTGGGGAAGATGACCAGGCTTTCTTGCACAGCTAGGGAAGACGACCAGGTCTAGAACCTTGCCAAACACTCATCAGAGAATGAAATTCCTTTTGTGCCTAAAGAAATCTTTGGGACACTCCCAGGTGCCACAGAACATGTAAAGAAATACAACCTTGCCTAATACATATTCCTGGAAACCTAGCAGAACCATTCATTGCCGAGGCATACCAAGCATCCACCTTCCTCACCGCGGGTCCTTCAGGGCAACTCCCGAGGACACCACACCAAAGCAGCACAGAGAGAAATGCTTGCATGCGTGCCGTCACTTACCCCATGCACTCCAAGCTGAGTGCTTTGCATTTAAGCCAAATGTGAGCAAGTCCCACTAAGGCAGAGAGAGTTTCAGATCCTCCCCTCAGTGAACACGGTCGAGCCGTCCACTTACCTGTCACCAGGACTGCCTTTTGATCCACAGGTAGCAACTCTTGGTCAGCTGAGTACACACACATGAGGAGACAGGACAAGGAGAAGAGAACCAAGCTCCAGAAGAAGGGCAGGAAGAGCAGGTAAGCCCCTCCGAAGAGGCCGGCAAGCCATAACACTGGGCTCCCCAGCTGCCCTGGGCTCTTGTGTTTGCAGAGAACTATGCTCCCTAGGGCTGCGGTGACAGCCAGGAAGAACCACGCTGCCTCGGAGAACATGCTCATTCTCCACGACTCACTGCACCTTCATGTGCTCAGGGCCAGCAAGTCCAATGGGATAGCTGGAGGCAGCCTGGGTTATATGAATGGGAAGGCAAAAGGGGGAGGGGAAATCAGCCCCGGCACACTTTGAATAAGCACGGATTAACTATAATCATACTGCACATATTCCCAGGGATAATTTAAACCCATGTGCACTGTAATATAAATACCAGGGCATTTCCTTTCTGATCATTCCCCCTCCGCCCCCCTGCACACACAACACACACACTCGCCCACAAATAAGCACTCACGTTTGACTATTTTAATGACTCTTCCACCTCTGGAGCAATGACTAATTGGATAATGATTGATAGGCTTGGAACTGGCCAGAGATTAACAACTCTTTCAGTTTGTGGGAGCTGAGTCGCTCCTTTGGAAGCCTGCAGGGTGTGTGTGTGTTCAGTTCTTTTTATGTGGAGTGGGGCGGGGGGGGGAGGGCAGGTGCAAACCCAAACAATCAGTGGGTCGGAAGGTAGATTCTGGAAGAAGCAAGCACCCCTGATCTGGTCCCTGTCTGTCAGACTCCTGCTTCTGCCAGCTGAGCTCAGGGGTGGGGGAACATTTGCCAAGAAGAAACTCCTTGGCACATGAAAGGCCCCCTGGTCTTGCCAGAGGAGAGATAAGCCAGGGTGAGATGACAGCAATGAAGACGGAACTGAAAACAGCCAATCAATACCATCAGCACTTACTTGTGGTGGGATACGACATTCATTCTCTCCAATGAGAGATTTTGGTGCCAAGCTCTGAACTGGGCACTGGGACCCAGCAGTCAACCTGCTCCACCTCTTTGGGTACAACATCCTTGTGTGGATTTTTTTTTTTTTTTTTTACCAGGATCAAACTCAGGACCTTGGGTTTTCCAGACAGGTACTTGCGCTGCTGAGCTAGATCCCCAGCCTCTGAGGACAATATCTTTATGATAAGGATTCTG